AATTCAAGATACTTAATTAGAAATCTGCTAGATTTTAGCAGATCACGTGACCAGCAATCTACCGGGGTCTTTTCTCCCCCAGAGCAAGGACTCTGGGTAATAGGTCGCATAAATAACTGTAAAAATGTACTTTAGTAAATGAATAATTTATCCATACACTTGATCTACTTTGTGAGTATTTTTTCCAATTAAAATTGATGCAACAATAAAACAAGAAGATGTCTATTTATATATTTATTAAATTGATCCGAGATCCCAACAATAACATGCTACTTAGGGAGTGGTCATTATTTATGGGGGGTGGTAAATGGGAGGGGGGAGGGGCAAACAAAGTTTTACCCTTTTTACCCAAACAAAGTTTTAACATAGAGAAAGGGGGGGGGGGTAAAAAAGTTTTTGAACTTAAATACCATTTCTAGAGTTCTGGTTTCTATAATCACAAATAGCAAAAAAGACTCTGAAAATGCCATTTCCAATGATCTAGAGACTCAAAATTTTCAAAATTTCCCTGCTCTGTGCCAACCATGGTAGTGCCTTGTGGGAGTGGTGCCCACTAAGTTTAACAAGCTTCCTACCCCCTGAGTGACCCAGCTGTGGTATTTACATAAACATACCATGCAAGTACACTTAACTGATCAGATTCGGTCTATGAAAGCACAATGTAACGCTGTATATAAAAAATCTGTTTCAGAAAATGCTCACATTTCAGTCCTGGGGAAAAATACAAAAATATTTTCACCAAAGCCCTCCCCCCTCCCCCTACTAATACATACAATACCACACCAAACTTTTTGTCACCAACAACCATCTGTCATCTCTCCACACTCAGTATAGTATGGTCCCTTTTTGTAGATGCCCACCCCCCAGACAAGTTCTTAAAAAAAGCCCTGTGTTCAAATCATTTTGCTGTATGAAGACGGGCCATGGGTTAGGGTTTATTTTTAATCATATATGGTTGAATCATATTCACCAGGGTAAAACATCATGAGCTAGATTTAAACAGATTGTCCTAATATCTAACTTTACCTGCAATGCATGCCTGTTTCATTGCTGTTAATTTTTCAATCCATACTGGGGGGGGTCAGAAAAGTTTCTACTTTTAAGAGGGGGGAGGCACAAAACGTTTGCTTTCAGTCTGGAGAGGAGGGGTCAACGAAGTTTTTAATCCTTATTTTCCCCATTTACCAACCCCCCTCCCCATAAAATTATGACCACTCCCTTAATTTGTTTATATTAATTATATATGATACATATGATAATACAATAAAAACTTGTTTTATTGCTTTAAAACAAGTGGAGCTCTCTGATGGTTTGAAATGGGCTGTTATGACACTGATTTGTCCATGCTGAGGATTCCACAGCTCGATTTGCCACAAAAACCCATAGATATCTATGCAAAAACTCCAGGATCAGTCGATCAGCTCGTCTTGAAATACGTACACGATCCAGTCGCGTCGGCCAAAGACAACAAAACTTTGAAAATCGCACAGATATAAATTCTACAAAAATATTAAAACAACTCCTAAGTCTTCTAAATAATATTTTAGCACTTTAACAAAAATTCATTGAAAATATCATCTTTGATGGCGTAAATTCTTTCCACGGTATTAGACGCCATTTTAGCGAACGTCGAGTTGACAGTAGTCACTTCAACGGTCAATATCTCGAAAACTGCCGGGGGATCACCGGGATCATTCCAGCAGATTTAAAGCTTATATATTTTTCTTGACGACTACCAAAAATGAAGAAAATCGAACCATGGGAATTCTAGATATTTCATTTTAAACATAGTAAACATATTTAGACTTGAGTCAACACGTCGCGGGGAGTCGACTAACTTCAAACATCAAAATAACATTGAAAATAAAGTTTACCTCAGAGATTTTTGCAGATATTGCCAGATCTTTAGTAGTAGTACTACAATACTTGAGATTTTGCAAGAAAATTTTAATATTAATATTTTTTTCCGATTTATTTTCCGTCGAATGCAAATTTTTCTGTCCAAATTCTGCAGATAACACGATGGAAAATAGAGCGATCTCATTGGTCGAGAGCTCACGTGACAACTCGCTAATTAGCTGTCCAACCTCCTCTGTGCAAATCTAAGGAATTTCTATTAGAATTTGGTCCAATTTCCTATAGGAATTCCTATAGGATTTTTTCGTAAGGGAAGGTCTATCATGGATTTAAATTTGGCCGCCAGAAAGTGTGGTTTGATCCAGAACGAAATTGCCGCTTTATACTTTTTTACTTTTTTCTCTTTCCACTTGCACTATTCTAAGAACACATTTGTTAAGAACCACGACAGACCCTAATCTTATTTTTAAAGTCTTACAAATTGCTGATTTCTATATTCTGATTTTTAACCCTGTAATGCCTGTGGTATCACTATAGTATTTTACTCTATTTTACTCTGGCTAACACCAGACTATTTTACTCTGGCTAGCACCACACAATTTTACTTGTCAATGTGAAAACCCCTTGGTGTTACAGGGTTAAATATGGTTTAGGGACTGTTTACATGAGCCTGGCAAGCTGCGCTGACCTGGAATCTTACTTTAGTCAAACAGGGCACCCAGCTAACTGTACTGAGATGATTCCATAGCTGGGTTCATTTAAACACCTCCTAAATATTGTATCTTATTGCACCATGAATTATAGTGTGTAACAATTGAAGTGTGCTGATCACCAGTAAACAAATTAACATAGAAGAAAATTGTGCTGTGACAGATCAGCCTAATGGAGCTAATGTTCTCCTGATCAAGTAGAGCAAGAAGAACGAACTGTCCACCAGGGTTTCCAGGTTTTCTGGGACAGAAAAAGCCAAACCGATTATCAAAATAAGCCAAAAAGAGCCAAACTCTAAATTATGGCGAGGGGATTGAGGAAGTGGTCTATTAATACCGTTTTGTCTGATACAAAGAATAGTAGACTACAAATTTACCAATTTACGATAATAAACTAAAACTTTAAGTAGTATATTCAGTGTTTTCTAAAAAGTAGTTTCTTTCTATACTTTATTACTTTTTTCAAGATCTGAAAGGATCAAAATTTTTTCATGATTGTCTGACGTCTGCAAAGACAGTAGCAACAAAGTGAGAAGCGTCAGAGCTTTGTTGTCATTGGTTGGAAGTGATCCTATTAAATATTAAGCTATGAATCAAAATTGAGTCAAAATTGAATCAATCATTAAAACTAATAAAGCTATATTTGATTGTAAAATACGAATATATGATTTTTAACTCCATTTTTTTAAAAAGAAGCCAAAATAAGCCAGATAATAAAGATAAGCCAAACAAAATTTTCCTAAGCCAAGCACAAGAAAAATAAGCCAAAATCGAGAAATCTGGCTTAAAAAGAGTCGAGTTGGCAACCCTGCTGTCCACATTGACAAGTGCACTGGTATTCTGCTCACTTGAAAACAGAAGCGTAACCCAGCTAGTTGGAAAAAACATTAGAAAGAACAAAAGGCAATATGGAGGAAAATATATCAATAGTCGAGAAAATGAACAGGCCACAAGGTCTGTAAAAACTAAAAAAAACTGTATGAAATGTAAGTTTAGATGCAGTTCTAATATTAGTGTGGAAGATAGATCTGCCATCTTTAACGAGTTCTGGAGAATGAGTGACAAACAGAAATTGCACTTTTATGGCAAAACAACAATGCAAGAGTCGACAAAGGGCTCAAAAGATGGAAGAGCTGGTCACAAGAAAACCACCATCAGGTACAGCCTTCCTGCCAATGCCCAAAATGTTAGAGTTTGTAAAATATTCTACTTGACCACATTGGATATTAAGCACAAACGCATACAACTTTTCCATTAGAACAAACAGAAAATGTGTTGAACACCCAGGAATTTGCAATGGGGGAAGAGTGCAAATAATGTAGTTTTGCAAGAAGTGAAGGATGGAATCCATGCACATATTAATTATTTGCCCATGTGGAGTCCCACTACAATAGGGAGAACACAAAAAATATATATCAGCTACATAACTTTATGGAGTGATTGATGCATGCCTCAAAATCAGAACAGCTTTTTCTCTATGATGGTAAAAGTGTTCCTCAAGAATCACCCAGAGAATGTGTCCATAGAGCATAAATATTGCAAGCTGGGCATTCTACCATTCAAGAAGTAGACAACCTGCATAGCCAGATTAAGGATGTGTGTCGTCACAGTGAAATATTTAGCCATGTTGGATTGTTACAGATGTTAAAGAAAGTTAACAGAAGAAGATCATCCAAATGAAATCACAAGATTTCAAAGATTTTGCATCCATTTGCTCGTCCACAAAAATATGACAGGATGCCATTTTCTCTTTGCTTAATAGAGCTTCTGGGTGGGCAAATAAAATTGATCATTGTCCACTGAATATCCAACAGCTTAAGGACTCAAAGTTAGAGGAAATTGATCTTAGCCTTAGGTCCAAACACAAGAATACATTTCAGAGCTTGATGTTCTGATTCTAACCGAGACCTTCGACAATGAGAACATTCCCGATTATCACTACAAAATACCTGAGTATGTTACATATAGAAAGGCCAGAAAAGGAAATGTTAGTGGTGGAATTATAATGTATGTAAATAAGAGCATCGAAGCAAAGTGCAGAATGGATCTTGAATAGAATGATACTGAATCTATATGGGATTCAAATTTGTCCACATAAATCTAAGCGACCATTGCTAGTATCTGATGTTTACCATCCACCATCTGCCAGAAAAGAATGTGACATAATTTTGGAAAAGAATATCGAGAAAGCATACTTGGAAAATAAGGAACTGCTAATCTTAGGTGATTTTAATATTGATTACTTAAATCCAGATTCCTTTTTAAAACACGATCTAGTAAGAACATTTCTGAATCTGAATTTTTGAATTGAAAAAAAAAAATTCGAAAAATTGACAAATTACCTAAACCTACTGAATTTCTCATTTGACGTAATAGCTACTGCTGAAACATGGCTAGATGAATCATGTAATGTCTGTGATTTTAATATACCAGGTTATAAGATTTACGAATTCAATCGCAAAGCGAAAATTGGAGGTGGAGTTTGCATTTATATTAAAGAATGTCTAAAAATTAAAATAAGAGATGACATAAATAAGGAACATTTAAGTGAAAATATTGAAAGTATTTTTATAGAAATTGAAAACATTAAAGGTAAAAATAAAATTGTGGGGTCATTTTATATAGACCTCCAAATGATAGATATAATGATTATGAAAATAAACTGAAGGCTATGCTTAGCAAAATCACCGTAGAACATAAAGAATGCGATACTCTTTAACAACATTTCGGATCACCTGCCCACTTTTCTAATAGAGACCGGTCAATAACAAATAATAAAAACATTAAGATGAAAAAAGTCAGAATGATTAATAAGAATAGAATTGCTAAATTTCAAAAAGAGCTAAGAGATCAAACTTGGAGCAAGGTCACAGGTGATAATAATCCGCAAACATCATTTAACACATTTATTAATATATTTCAAGAAAAGTACAATAAACATTTCCCAATAAAAATTATTAAAATAAAACAGAAATAAATGAAAATTAATCCATGCATTACAGAGGGGATTAAAAATCCTCACACACAAAAGAAAAGTTATATAGGAAGTTTTTAAAACAACCGACTACAGTAAATTGCATGAAGTATAAATCATATAAAAATAAGTTAATCCATATAATACGTATTGCAAAGAAAAAATATTATAGCGAACAAATAGAAAACTGCAAAAGCAACATAAAACAAAGATGGGATGTAATTAAAGATTTATTAAGTAAAAATAAATGTAAATCTTCGTATCCTGAATCATTCAAAAAAGAGAACACAACTATTTCAAAGGAAGATGAAATAGCAAAGGAATTTAATCTTTTCTTTTCAGGTATAGGATAAAATTTGGCAAAAAAATTCAACGAAAACAACACTAGAAATTATATCAAATATTTAAAATCAAACTATCCAAAATCATTGTTTCTCACTAGAATAAAAACGAGTGAACTTGATAAAATCTTCTCATACATCATTAGATATTCATAGCATTTCGGCCAATGGCATGGTTTAATTTACATCACGTGTATCTATCTGGATACCCCGTCCAGACCAGGAATTTAATTACTTCAAGTGGGAAGGGCTTTGAACAATAGGGAAATTGAGGCGTAAACAAAAGATTATGCAAATATATTTAATTGCTATGTTTAGAATTATTTCTAAATACAGTAAGTTGTATTTAGAAATTTATTCTGACTACACTTTATAGCTAACACTTTTCCTGAACGTTTTAAAACTACATAAATATAGGAAAACCAACTTTTTTACCAACTATCATAATAAACAGCGCTTTAAACACTACAATACAGCAACTTACCAGTAATGTTTACCGTCTATAAAATATATATTCACTTTGGCTCTTTCATTTTCCACCAGATAGCGCCTTATCGCACACACAATCTGATATATTGTTTTTTGGACCCCCAACCTTGTCAGCCGAGCGACAATACTGTGCACAATACTGTGCTCAACACTTTCTGGTTCTCTAAACCGCTTTTTCTTATATTATAAGAAGATACTATGCTCTTTTGGCAACAAAATTCATCTATTCATGACGAAAGCGAACTGAATGCTTTGTTGCACTTCATGCAAACTTTCAAGCGAATGCAATCGTTAATGCCCACGCTCACTTTTTTGAATATCTAATAATTTCATGCCTCATTGCTATGAAAGTCTAATGATGTGTGAGAAGCAATTTCAAATCCTCGTTAGTGTTTTAAACTTGGCTTCCAAATCCCCAGTGCCATGAACAATGGCTCGGCTGCGCATGGCACTTGTATTTAGAAACCACGTCTAAAACACTAACTCGGATTTGAAATATTACATAAGAGAGCTATGTCCCCCAAAAAGCTCTGGCTATGACGGAATTCATCCTAAAGTGATTAAAGATATGGGAACATGCATTAGCAGTGTAATGTGTCATATTTTCAATTTAACATTCACAACAGGAATAATCCCTGATCAGCTAAAGGTATCACAGGTTACACCAATACACAAAAGTGAAAAGAAAGACAATGTTTGTAATTATAGGCCGATTTCAGTGATTAGCTGTTTTTCCAAAATACTAGAAAAAGTTATTTACACTCGAATAATACAATATATTGAGAAAAATAACATTTTCTTTGAAAAACAATATGGTTTTAGAAAAAAACGATCAACAACACTTGCAATAATTGAATTGATAATAATAAAATAACAATTGGAATATTCCTCGATTTGTCAAAAGCATTCGATACAGTTAACCATCAAATTTTACATTTAAAATCTACAACACTATGCAATAAGAGGAGTAGTATATAAATAGTTTGAAAGCTATTTATCTGGTCGTATGCAACACATCAAATACAATGATACAATATCGGATGCAAAGCTAGTTTCCTGTGGTGAACCACAGGGATCAGTATTGGGTCCACTACTTTTCTTAATATACATAAACAACATCAATGTTAGCAGTCAGCTTACATCATTTATAATATTTGCAGATGACACTAATCTATTCTACTCTGGTGAAAATGTTGAGCAATTAAATAAAACAATCAATGCAGAAATGCAGAAAAAAACATAGTTTTTAAATTGACAAAGAAAAAAAATTAAACCCAATTAAAATATTTCTTAATAATTGTCAGTTAACTCAAGTTAAGGAAACAAAGGAGTAATCATAGACGAACATTTAAATTGGAATCAACACATTAATTACATTGCAAGTAAAATATCAAAGTCAATAGGAATAATTTGCAAAGCGCGTTATTTCTTAAATTCCAACATACTAAGAACTTTATATAATACGTTAATTTATCCATACCTATATTATGGAAATATTGTATGGGCAAATAATTATCCAACAAGATTAGATAAAGTATGTAAACTCCAAAAAAAGTAATTAGAATAATCACACATTCTTCGTATGATGCAAACTCTGCCCCATTATTTAAAAAATCGAAATTGCTAAACCTTCATCAGATCAACGATTTATGCATTGGACAATTTATGTTTGAATTTTATAATAATTCCTTGCCTGAATATTTTAAAAATTTCTTTACTCTTAACAAAAACGTACACAATTACAGAACGAGAAACTCACATTATATACATAAGGAAAGATACCGAACTAATTATGGAAAATTCACGATTAAGATTAAAGGAAGTAGTTTATGGAACAAAATTCCATCTGATATAAAAGAAGCGAGAACAAAAATTAAGTTTAAAAAAGATATGAAAGATTATCTATTGATGTGCATGCAATGTGTATACATGATTGTATATGCATTCATACATATCTATATATAAGTGAAGTATTTATGTAAATATATATATATATATATTGCTAGTTAAATCATTAAATCAAAATTACTATATGAATATAATCTCATCAATGATACCAAATCAACTGTATTTTAGCTAATTTTATTGTAGGACTGACTTGTAAAAGCCCACAAGGGTTTATCTGGTCCTTCCAGTTTCAATTAATTTGATGTAAATGTGTTATGAGAAATGAATAAAGTATACTGATTTAAAAAAAAAAATGTAACTCAACTTGTCGAGTGTATCACCCGACCAGAGTCCAACACATGTTTGGATCACATCTACTTGTGGCTTGTTCTGATCATCTCCCAGTGTTCATTCTCAGGCTTTTTAAGAAAACGGGATAGCAAAGTGCAGCAGGCACTAAAATACATGAACACAAATCACTGAAATACCTAAATCTAAAGTCCCTCAATAATGAATTGTTTGCTAAAGATCTTTCAGAAGCCCTGCGAGATTCAGCATTTGTGTGAGAATATACTGATAATATTGTTGATTCATGGTATTCAATTTTTACTAATTAATATCCTTAACAAATATGGTCCAATAATATCGAAACATGTTAAATGAAAGATCCAACCGAAATGGTTTATGGTAATGGTAAAATAATGGTTTATTGACACATTTAGTAGCAGTTACGTTAATTTACAATGTGTTTACAATACTTGGATATAAAAAGGGTATATATTCTATTTATTGACATGTCATTCATTAAATATAAAGTCTAACTAATCTATATCTATTTATGTTATGTATAAAAACTACTAATGCATACCTATTTGTACATTATCTAACTGATAAAATTTTAAAAAGAAACATGATTCTAATCAACCAATTTAGAATTATACAAGTATCTAGGGTAAACCAAGGGACTATGTTTAAAACGCTTAACTTACAAACAGGGGTGGAAAAAATTTTTTTCTTTCTGGGAAACTGGGTTGAAGGCTAGAAATTTTCTGTAAAATTTGCAATGTTACAATTACAAAAATAACAAAAGAAATGCATAATTATTGTATTATTTGTACTTTAGTAATAATGGGCTTTAGGCTGGTTTTCGTACGCATGTACATCACAATAGTTGTCTGTTATACACCACAGTTATGAGTTATGACCAACTAGTAAGGATCTTGATTTTTTCTGTGTTGGTGTTATGTACTAAGGTGAATATGATGTTTGTGTGGTTACTCTGAGTGTATATCCACACTGGGCAAACTTGAAAAATATGCCTGGCCACGATGGGAATCGAACCTACGACATTTGGATTACTAGCCCAATGTTCTGCCAACTGAGCTACGTGGTCAGGTCGGTTTGAGTATGTGATATTTCGGAACTGAGTTTAGTTCCTTCAACACCAATGTAATCTAGTATTCCAAAGGTCATATAGGTTCGATTCCCACTATGCCCAGGCATATTTTTCAAGCTTGCCCGGTGTGGATACACACTCAGAGTAACATCACAAACATCATATTCACCTGAGTACACAACACCAACACCAAGGGTGGGTAGTAGCGAAGTAGTTGTAGTTCGCTACTGTAGCGAACTACAATTTTCAAGTAGCCAGTAGTATTTAACTACTTTTTTTAAAACAGTAGCTGTAGTTATATCAAACTACATTTTGCCTAAAAGTAGCCACATAGTTGACCACTTTTCAACACATCGCTATTCGCCACTTTTTAAAATTGTTAGCAACTTGATAGAATAGCATGATATTGAGACACGGTTTGCTAGTAAAATCAATACTCAATAGTCAATTTACACTCCTGAACACTGTAGTGCTTACAAAAATGTTGCTTTGTGTTTACTGTTGC